ACCCAAGAGTCGGGCTATTGAAGAACATTGCAACAATGGACAGGTGGATCGAACTGCCAAGATTGAAGTGTCTCAGGTGGATCTGGAGTGGCAACATAAGGGTGAATTATTTCTGGCTTGGTGGGCCCATGATGCCTCAGGTCATCAGGGAAGAGATGCAACATACAGATGGGTTCATGACTGAGGGGTGGACTTAACCATGGACACTATCTCCCAGGTTATCCATAACTACGAAACATGCTGTCATAAGTTTTCTTGTTTTAAAGAAAAAAAACCCCTGCTTTGATTTTTTTCCCTTTACCACTGTGAAAGAAAGGTGTTGAGCAAGGGAGGGGGGAAGGGATGGACAGAGCAAAGTCACAAACACACAAAGGACTGGTTAAGTAGTCACACATTCCAGATTAATTGCTTCGGAAAACTGTGGGGGAGGTGGGTTTTCTTTTTGGTTTGGGGAGGGGACTTCACCTTCTGCCCAGATCTCAGGAGCAGCGTGTGGGAGTGAGCTGCGAGTTTTCGCCTCCTTTTTTGCCTACGGTCTGGGTGCCCCTCAGAGCTGCCAAGGACCGAGGGAGCTCCGGTTCATTCTCCATTGAGAGAGTCTCTGCGGGGCAGCATTCCACCTCTGCTGTCATGGAGACTGCCAGCATCTTGTTTCTTCCCTTTCTTTCGGGTATCCCTGCTCTCTACTGGACAGTCTGACATCCCTGTCTCTTGCTAGCTGCCGCTATCGTGGTTGATGGGTGGGGGCCCACCTTGGGGTATTGAACCAGCCAGCGTGGTTGAGATCCGCCATTTGCCACGTGGGGTTCATCTACAGCATGCGCTCCCTGCCAACCACTAGAGAGCAACTTCAGACTCTGCTCCTCCAGAGATCCAACAGCGCCCCCTGTTGGTCGTGGTTAGAATTGCACCAAAAGGTAAAAAGTATTTAAGTGTTTTTGGTGGGAATTTGGGTGCAGGATTATTGTTTGTTTTTCATTCTTTTGTTGTGTTACCTATAAACATATATTCTTTAATAAAGGGCTGTTATCTTTTCTTTCTCCACATTTCCTTGACTGAAGTCCCTTAATTTTGGATTTACAATTGCTTAGAGGGAGGAGCTTGGTCTTCCTCATAACTCGCCCTCCTCAGCAAACACACATCTGTCTCATTAAACTGAGAAATATGCACTGCAATCAAGCAGGGCAAGTGGGTAAAGCCTCTGTGGTATGGTGGATGATGGTAGAAATATAAATATGGGGAGGTCTGGCAGATTCATTACATCACGGTCCCGTAGACCACCAAGGTAAGCATTATGTGCTGACAATGGTGGAAACAACCACTGGATGGCTGGACATGTAATCTGTGCCTCATTCCACTGCCCAGAACACCATCTTGGGCCTTGAAAAGCAAGTCCTGTGGCAACATGACACCCCAGAATGAATTTAATCCGACAACAGGACTCATTTCAAAAACAGTCTCATAGACACCTGGGCCAGAGAGCACGGCATTGAGTGGGTGTATCATATTCCCTGTCATGCATCAGCCTCTGGGTAAACTGAACAGTACAATGGACTATTAAAACCCACATTGAAAACAATAGGTGGTGGGACCTTCAAACAGTGGAATCTACATTTAGTGAAGGCCACCTGGTTAGTTAACACTAGAGGTTTTACCAATTCAACTGGCCCTGTCCAATCAAAAGCTCCACATACTGTAGAAGGGGACAAAGTCCCCATGGTGCATATGAGGAATGTGTTAGGGAAGACAGTCTGGATTAGTCCTGCCTCAAGCAAAGGTAAACCCATATGTGGGATTGTTTTTGCTCAAGGACCTGGGTGCACTTGGTGGGTAATGCAGAGGGAATGGGAAAACATGATGTGTACATCAAGAGGATTTGATTTTGGGGTGAGAACAGTCTAATGTTGAATTGTACGATACTGGTTGCTGAATGACACTGTCACTGTATGCCATAACTACTATGGACAATGACTATGGACTGCTCCAGATACACTAGTCATGAGCTCCTGATGCAGCTTGCAACCAGTTGACAGCACATCAGCCCTCCTGCCCTGGAAGACATCTAGGACAGATAGAACCCACAGTCATGGACTAAATGAACTCAACAGAAATCTTGGAGGGATGACCCTTGACTACGGTAATGATACACGTGCTTGTGTGTGTATATATATATATGTATATAGTTGGAAGGTGTAGGATTTGGGCATGATGTAGATTGTATAGCATAAGGGATGGATAATGTCCTGGTCCCGGTCAGGACAGAGTTAATTTTTGCAGTAGCCAGGAGGGGGCATGGCTAGGGACCCGGAGGTTATTCTATACCACCTCACATCATTTTCCTGTAACTGAGTAGGGGAGGGTGGGGGGGAAGGGTCCCTTCTGTATCGGGATAGCAGGGCAGCAGTCAGGTATTGTCAGTTGGGTTTGGTGGTAGTGGTGAGCATTTGCATGTGAATTGTTCGCCTCTCTTGTACACATTTGTTATTAATATTGTTGTTGTTACTGTTAATTTTCTTATATCATTGCTATTTCCAGTATATTGTTCTTATCTCAACCCACGATCTTTACCTTTTGTGCCTCCAATTCTCCTCTCCAGCCCAATGCAGGGGAGGGGGAAGTGAGCAAGCAGTGTGGGTTGGAGTGGTTTCAGTGGGAACCCTAAATTGGAGGATACCATTCCTAAACCACGACAGTGACTCTTACACATTAAAAGAAACCAGTCACTGCAAAAAAACTGCTTCTGCATGCATGGGAAGACTTGTAAAGTTGTCATGCTTTTTAAAATATGCTGCTCTTATCATCATCATAAAGGTATTTATATATATAAAAATCTTTGAACACCAAAAGGATCTGATTTTTTTTATATACATGTACCAGCAAATAATCTTTCCTGAAGGATCCTAAATTTTAAACAGATAAGGACAAGTTTATTAAATTGCAATCAAGCATAGAATAACTCGTTTAACTTTTACCTGAAATGCACACAATTTCAGACTAGGGAGTTTTTTAACAAGTTCATATCAAAATCTTTGTATCAAAATTATGCATCAAGGTAATCTTTAAAGAATTTATTCCAGTACTTAAAAATTATCTCCTGCAAAGTCTTTCAGTTACTCTAAAAATAACACAGCTCTCTAACCTCATTTTTTTTAATGAAGGCATCACATACTTAAAATAAAGTCTAGGCCAAGAATAATGTAAAAACACTGGTGTTAGTATTGCAATGATAACAAAAACCATTTCTTGAGTTCCTATTACAGGTTTGATCCAAATTCCCATATAAATTGATGGAAAAACTCCCATTGACTTCAAGGTGATTAAAAAAACCCATCAGACCTACAGAAGATACACAGTGGATATTTCCAATAGAAAGAAAAGGAATCACACTAAAATAATTAGGAAAAAAGTGTCTGTGGTTTAAAAACCAAAATAACAGAGCTAAAGGAGACCTATAGCATTCTCTTTACTTAAACTATGTCTATGCAGACTTTCAATTTCCATTACTAGAACTTTGAGTTAATTTACATTAGAAACTTTTAGCAAGTTCTATCTGATGATAAATGTACATTTTGGTAGCTACAGAGAAGTTACTTGACATAGAGAAAGGTCTTAATGGAGAGGTGACAAAAAATCCCTGTGTGTGGTGATAATAGTAAGAATTAAATAGAGATTTCTAATATATAGTTTAAATTAATCCTACTTTAAACATCACAGTTTCAAGCCTGCCTATTCAGGATAACTATTAGTATAAAAAGATCCACACAAAGCAAGGTTTTGTATTATTTAAATGAAGCTAATATTCTGGCATTCCCCATCACAAGCAAATAATTATTTCAGCAACATTCAAACATGGTTCAGAAGCAGCTCTTGTTGTCTGACCCAGAACAGCAATCTTCAGACCACTGCAGTTTACTTATCTGACTGTCAAGCCTCCCTCTAAATTCCTGTGCCAAGGCTCAATCCATCTACTGATGGTTGTTTATCTTAGGACTGACAAGACTATTTTTATTCTAGCATTAAGGATGCAGTTTGATCATATATACAGAAGGAAGCAGCAATACTTTGTGTGCACAGGTCATGCATGCATATGCAGTTGGGTGTGATTCATCTCACCTAACTTCAACCAAAAGTTATCTATTCTAAACTGTTGATAAGGAAGGTTTAGACAACTAATGTAAGACTGCCAGAAGGTATCCTCTGTAGGTGCTTATCTCTTCTCATTGACTCAGAAGGAGATCCAGGGATCAGCAAACTAGACACCTAAAATGAGAGATAACTTCCACCCAAACCAAACACATATATATGTATGCATGTGCCTATTTGTGCACACAATATAAGACAGCCACTTCCATAAATATGTCATGTGCAACACAGCAGTGACATTAATAAAAACTCTGGACAGAAAATGAACCACTAAATGGGAAACAAAAGCAAAAATCAGTTGTGCATATTTGTTATATATAGCTAAATCTTTAGGTAAGCTTATATATTACTTCTGCCTAAAAATGAATAAGAAAACACTAATGTGTGACATGTTCAAGCTGTAAAACTTGAGAGTAAACAGATAGTTAAGGAAATGTTATGGGTCTGTATCTAGTCTGGTTCTCTAGGGTACTTATATAAATGTTTTAACACGCAAAAAGAGCATCTGGATGAATACTCAATGCTCCTACTGTAGCAAACATAGCACTACTGATTTTGGGGTATCTAAACAAGGATTGTAAGTTATATTTTCTCAAGTTTGGTGATGAAAGCTTAGGGTGGTTCCCCCCAACACATCTTTAAAGGTGTTTATATGTGTGCTGACACATGCATGTGAGTATACTGTGGGTTTTCTTAAACTACATGCATATTCCCTATAAATAAAAAAACCCAAACAATACCATGGTAAAAAAACCCAAAAGAAAAAACAAAAACATACAAAGAGAAAAGCAAACCTTCTTTTTAGCATAATCCAAAGTAACATCAAGATTGAAAAGATGATTTTTTTTTTTTAAAGTTTATGATTGATTCAGATCAGGCTCTGCAATATTCCCATTCTCTGGAAAGATAGGTGGAAAACTGTTATTAAAAGTCACTGGAAACTCTAGTGTAGCATCGACATTTTGATAGCCCATGTAAAAATTAAACAACTGCTGTGGAGGTACTTGGCTATCGGGCATCTGTATGAAAGCCACTGACTGTGTGGTAGGGGGAATTCTTTGGCCAACTAGTTGAATTTTAGGTTCCCTGGGCTCCAATTGTTGCTTGCTTTCTTCGTCTGTGTCAAGACGGGTTAGCTTTTCTATCCACATGCGGAACTTCTCCTCTGTCTGCCTCTGAATCTCCGCAAAGCTGTTCATGGTCTCTTCCAGGACATTGCCTATGCAGTTCCTATCCCACACGGTGCCCCTGTCAAGCAATCCTGGAATTTCCCTGGTCACTCCTCCAGATCCCCCAGCAGGACTGAAGCCAGCTTTAAAGACATTGAGGCCATTTGATAAGATATCATTAAGTAAGAACATAATATTGTTTATTAAGGCATGCTAACTCAGGAAAACAATTTTTCTAATACTGTCCCTTGGACATGAAAACGGGGGAGGAATTACCAAATATCAGCCAACAGTATTACTGTAAAAAAAAAATTTTACACTCACTGAGTTTATAATAGAAATTTTGGCTTCAAAATTATTTTTGTTCTAGAATTCTCAGACAATTCTGTCAAAGGTCTTTTTTTATAAATATATCAAATTAGTCCAATTGCCTTGTAATTTCTGGTTTTAATTCAACTGAAGGTGTCAAAAAACACTTTACAATAACATGTTTAGTTCTGTTAGGTTGTGATCCAAAATGCTAACGTTTAACTGATAAACCTGAATAATTATGCATATTTTACTTACATACATGAACACTTTTACAACAGACTGTTAAAACACACACAAAATCGTACACAAAATAACAGAGATAAAGGTTGATATAGTGACTGCAGCATCCAAAGTAGCCAAGCCCAAAGCTCTTGGTCTAATTTTTAAAAACACAATGAACACCAATGAAGAGAATAAATAATACAAACACAAGCATGAAAAGATATGTGAATGCTACGCTAATACATGAGGTGAAAGTAACCTCTGTTAGGTCTGATGGACATAGCTCCATCACAGGGTTAATACACGTGACGTAGGACTGATCAACCTCACACCAACCATTCCTTGCACAAGCCACCAGCTGTGCAGCATTTCTAGCATTAATCCTAGGCAAGGTAGAAAACAGGGCATAGTTGGAAGGAAAATGTTCTCCTTCTATCCATCAAAAAGATGATTAAAATGACTGACTTTGGGATTATCAGAAAGAACTTTAGCAGTCAGAAGAAGCAGCATCACCTTACTCTACATATCAATAACAAAAGGCAATGGTATCTATATTTTTTTGTTTAGAGTTCACTCAGGAATCATCTAGGAAGCAATAAAACTCCAAAAAACAGAGGATTTGTACCTGTTTGAGGAATAATAAACAACACACGCATGCCATCCAAACATACAAATGTTACCAAAGGTAATTCCGAAGCAAGACAAGCATCACATTAAACTACACAAAGCAGCTACAGAACTTGACAATTTAATATGTAAATATGAAACTTGTGGGATCCTCTAGCTTAAGAATAATAGAAAATATCCTAAGAATGAGAGAAATTGTTGCACAATCTAACCAAATATTTACTAATAAAAACATAAGGCACTAAATTTTTATTGTGATTTCACCGTGTACATGAAATTACAGTTTTGCTTAAACAACACATTCTTTTTTGGAACTATATAAATGAGGTATACGTAAGGTCTTCAGTAACAGCTAAACAAAGCCCAGAATTATCATCCTATTTCTGAGCAGCAGCAATGCTATCCATCAGGAACCCCTTCTTAAGTCTTCTCTCCCATCTGTTTACCTATCAGACAGGCTGGAAATTCAGCATTCATGTCCTTTGCTCAAAAATATATACTTAATAGTAACTAATTAACATCCCTCTGACTGCATTTTAACTAAAACAATTAAGTAAAATGGTACCTTTTTCCTAAAATGTGGTTCCTTTTATATATTCAATGTCTTTTTCCTACCTGAAAAAAAAATTTTCTTGTTCATATACTCCCAGTATTGAACATCCAATATGATTCTGTTTACTCATCTTTAGTCAGGGATCTTATCCTAAAATCAAGTAACTAAATGACATTCTTTCTGATTTCCACAGGCTTACGAACAGACACCTCTAAGTAATGTTGAGTAAGTTTTAATTGCAATTTAAATAAAAACTATTGATGGTAATATGGGAGACAATCTAGCTAAGCTTTTAAAGGTAAGAATTACCTAGCATGGTCAAAGTTGACAAAATTGTTTTGTAAACTGAAGAAACTAGGTATTGAAGTATATATTACCCTGCAATACTATTTTTAAAAGGCATCATTCATAGTACATCTACAATTTACAGTAGCAGCAAATCAATGTTTCAAATGCTTCCCTTTCAGTTCTTATAACAAGCCTTATTCAATCTTTTCCTTATTGGTGCCTTTCAGGGTAAAAAAAAAAAAAATCTAGCCTAAACCCACATTTTTATTATATTAAAAATGTTAGCATTTATCTAACTGGTCTCTTTGTTATCTGTAAACTTACAACTCCATAGTTCTTTGAAATTATGCCAAGATAAAAGGCAAAGAAATTTGCAATCACAAAAGGGGTCAGAAGCCAAGATTCATACCTTATTTTCAAAACAATACCTCTGGCAAAAAAGCACTTAAGAAATGCCCCAACGCTGTCTCTTTATGTGATCTATTAAGTATCATCTAAATAATAACCAAATATAAAGTTCTTTAATTTAGGAAGTCTGACAACATAACAATTTAAGAAGATATGCGGCATCTTCATTCTAACTAGCAATGGTGTATTCCTCCACACTGTTATGCTTACTGACATTTCCAAATGAGTATCTTACTGCAAATCCTGTTTAACAGAGTTTTCCCCCGTTATTATATTGGCATCGTTCTGAGATACTTGAACCAAATTCATCCCTTTGTATTGGGTGTGGCTGAGATGGAGTTCATTTCCCCAGAGCAGCCCTCACAGTGTTGTGCTTTGCATTGGTAGCTAGAAAGGGGTTGATAACACACCACTGTTTTGGCTACTGCTGAGCACAGCATCAATACTGTCTCTCAACATTCCTCCCCCCTCCCATCATTAGGCTGGGGGTGGGCAAGATCCTGGGAGGGGACACAACCAGGCCAGTTGACCCAAACTAACCAAAGGGATATTCCATACCATATGATGTCAGCTCAGATATAAAAGCTAAGGAAAAGAGGAGGAAGAGGGGGCATTTGTTATTTAGGATGTTTGCCTTCCAGAGCAACTGCTACACGTGCTGAAACCCTGCTTCCTGGGAAGTGGCTGAACATAGCTTACTAATGGGAAGTAGAGAATAAACCTTTTTTTTTTCTCTTTGCTTGTGTGCATGCAAACTTTTGCTTTAGTAAACTGCCTTATCTCAATCTATGAGTTGTTTTCCATCTTATTCTCTCTCCCCTGTCCCAGCTGGGAAGGGGAGTGGTAGAGCAGCTCAGTGGGCACCTGGTGTCCAGCCAAGGTCAACCCACCACACCCTTGCAAGATGCTTTTTCCAAGGTCTATGCACAGTTCTTAGGAGGAAGTAACCTGGCTGAGAGTCCCTCACACATACTGTACTCCCCCCTTTGGATTTCTGCATATTAAAAAAAATCATTTTTTTCCTTTTTTTAACAAAGTGAGCTGCAACACCTTTTCAACATTAAAACTCAAACTTTTCAACAGATTCTTCTGAAAGTCTAAAACATGAGTCACCCTTATTTCAATTCAGATTTTTCTGAGTTGTAGAAAGCACAATAATGGTGAAATGCCAATATTTTTCTATTATATTTGAATTTTTAAAAACCCATTCCTTCTTCCAAAAAAAGTGTTTACACAGAAATAAATATTGATTCCCAGACTTGCGCTCATGCCAATTTCATTCAGAGTTAATTTGCATGGTCAAATTTGAAATTGTTTAAAGGAAAAACTTTCACCAACAGTAGATCTAGCAGAACCTATTACAGGACTCAAAAATCAGCCTCTTAGGCCATGAATGCTATCTAGTGTTTAAGAATGGCAAAACCTTAAATGCCAACAGAGAGGCTCAGTCATTAAAAGATAAGAAATTGTTCTTCGTCTGCAGTAACTCAAAAATCCTGGCATTCCCTTGAATTAAAGAGCCCAGGATTATGACTGCTCAGGTCAGTGAGGAGATTCTCAGTAGCACCCATGAAGTTTAGATCGAAACTGTATTTTCAGGTGTAAGTTAACACCACAGAAAGCATTCAGAATAACATAACTCATATTGTGCTTAGCTCCTATGGAGTTCACAATACTTGTATCGAAGTATCACCAGTAAGATCTCAACTCTTTACTCCCTAATCTTTCTCGAGAAGAAAACCAAGCCTGCCAGTATTTTAATGCACATGACATTTGAGTTCAGCAGAGAACTGACTATTGCACAATTGCTCTGTTTGCAACTTCATGGCATTATTATGTACTCACTGAACATTTTCTTTACCAATTTAGCCAAACATATTTCAGAGCCAGTGATGTGGATGGTTTAAAAAAAACCAACAAAACCCTGCATTATTTAAATGGAAGGCTACTGTATTCTTAAATGTGGCACTTCAATTTTCAGACCACACACAAGCAAACTGTTGGCTGTTACACTACATGCATTGATAGAAGGTTAAGAATCAGAGTATGTATAACCTTTGTACATGAAGGCCACATTAACTGTCACAAAAAATTTTAGAGCATCTCTGTTGACAAAGTTATTTTTCAAACTGGTTGAAAATCAGTCCCAATAATAAGCAATGTTGAGACAGTAACCAACACTACAGCTGAAGTGTCCAAATACAGTAAGACTAAGGGGAACATGCTACCTGTAAGACTCTTCTGCATCAATATGTACAGTCTTTTTCAAAAGTAAAGGCAAAAGTTTTTTCATGCTTATGTCCTGATACTCAAGTTCAAGCATCAAGTTAAACCTCTTAGCTTTTGACTGTGTGCAGAGGACATTCATGCACTGAATTTCCAGTAATGCTTTTTGATACCTTGTAATAATTTCTAACTACACGTTTGTAGTAGTTTGGTCTAGGTCTTCCTTGGTGACCAGTTTGTAACCAAGGAAGGGCCCAGATTTACCCAGTATTCTCTACGATTTTTACGTAAGCCAGACTATAAGAAGAAAGGAGGAGAGACCTTCACTCTCTTTCCTTCCAGCAGCTTGGAGGTGCAGGTTCCCTGCTGTTGAGTCTGTCGTGTTGGGGAGAAAGACCTGGTAAGGCCTTGTCGACCTTGGGAGGCAGAGGTTGCCGGCGATCGTTCCAGAGCAACTTTCGGTTGTCCCAAGGAGAGTAGTGAGATATTTCTTTGCTAACTTTTTTTAGTTGCTAGATATTGGGCTACTAATCAGGATATATATATATTTTATTTTGGTTTTGTTCCTTTTCCCTTCCCCCTTTCCTTTCCCTTGTGAAATTGTATATATATTTCAATTGTATATAACTGTAACATAAGTGTAAATATATTTATATATATTGCTTTAACTGTCTCTCTCTCGTTTCGGTTTTCTTGGTTGTTTTTCTCCCTCTTCTCCCTGAGGTTTGGGGGGGGATGGGACTTCTTGTGGTAAGGTTTGGAGACTTGGCAGGGAGCCAGCTTCAAACCATATCAACGTTCATTCCCTAAATTTTGAGGATATTCACAATGTCATGCCAAGTGCACTAAAATGGCTTTCTAGTCAAAAAAAGAATTTAAGTACTTTGCCAGTTCCAAGAAGAGGGATCGCAGATGGCATGTGAACTTACCACTGCAACAGAGAGCTGGGAGTCATTTCATTAACGCACAAGTAGCATAGGATGGGTTTTTAGCCAACCTTGTCCTTATCTCTATAGAGAATGTTTTTCTCTTGTACTTGGAAACCATTTCCCACAAACCAAAGTCGTTTCTATCTAAAGGAAAACCGCAATATGTCAGGTACACATTGCATCTAATTGCAGCAAAAGGACAGTTCAAACGTTTTAATGTCATAAATGGAATTTAGCATCAAACAGATGATACATGTTATGAAATAAGAATAAACATCATTGTTCCTCAGCATGGTTTGTGCACTCCCACATCTTGCATCACAGGTAAAATTGGGCCTTAGTGTAATCATCACTAAATAATCAAGTTCTTCTGTGCACTACGATAGGACCTCTTCACTGCAAGCATCTCATGGTTAAGACCAAGAGCTCAAATACAAAAGAGCCTAGTGACACAAAGTACCCTAGAGTGGTTTCAGTTCTCTGCAATGGAAGTCAGAAATCTAAGCAGATCTGAAAATACCATGTGGTGCCTTTCTGGGTCACAAGATCCTTTTATGACTTAAAAAAAGAATATAACCTGGGGGATTTATTGTGTAAGTTTGGGAGGTGGGGAGAAACCTATTCCAAAACTCAATGAAATAGTCTTCGACAGGCTTTAAATTCAACTTTAATTACCCAGTAAAGTGTAAATATAGTAAATAAAAAGGCACAAAACTATGAAAGCTAGAAGTCTGACTAACTACTAAATTGGTAAAATACTTTTAGATCTCTATTAAAAGTTTACTACACAATAATTAAAAGAGACTATGTTTTTCACAGACTTTCTATAAATAAACATTTACACTTTGTGCAACCTGCTTCCTAGCAATATGTGGGAAAAATGCCAGTTCTCATGGTGACAGAATCATTCACCATAACCAAATCAGCTAAAACAGTTACTTGTAAAATCTGTTGCAAATATTTTAATTCATCTAACAAACATTAGTTCAGCAACTTAAGACTAATTATTGCAGTTTTCCTTTCAATGTTCTTGCCCTATGGAAGCTGATATTTATCTCCAAAAAACCATAAACTTCTAACACGAGAGGCAAAAAGGCATGTAACTCAGTAAAAATTGGTAAGTCAAAAAGTTTATTTTTATGTGATTTTATTTTTGATTGCCATATGATGATATGATGATGGTTCTATGGTATAATATGCTGCAATAATTCTTCACACGAAATCTTGTCCATGGCACTTGGGCTAATAAAATAACAAAGACTCAGCAGACAAAAATCTTGAAGAATTAATCTTTCTTTTGCTAATAAAATGATGAGAAGACCCCTGTAATTTGCTGCCTCCAATCTTAAAACAGATGTGTCAGAAAATTAAAAATATAGAAATTATAGATCCTTGTGACATAGGAAAATGGTAACAGCTTTGTCTAAGATGTTGAAAATTTAGGTGTGGATATAGCTTGGGCACTTGTGTAAACAAATTCATATTTATATCCTAAAATATGTGACCAGCTGCAATCTGCAAGAACTTACAATAAGGTCTGTCATGCACTGAAACATAGAGCCGAAAGCATAGCATAAGTGCAATAATGAACAGGGCCTTACTGTAACACAGGCAAGAGGTATGCCATGTTATTTCTAACACAACTGCCAAGCTGTGGTCTTAAGATATTAAAGCAAAGTTGGTCATTTATATTAAGAATGTATTTATTAGATTATCACCATCTAATGGGATTTGACAGCACTGATAGGAACTCATATAGGCTTACAAAGAAAAAGATATGAAAATTCCAGGATTCAAAGCTAGTCCTTCCTCCAATTTACCATTTCTATGCTTTGTTGGTGTGCAAAAGTGAACTGAAACCTCAGAACAGATTTTAAAATTTGCCCATGTCTTGTTAATACACTGCAGTCTTCAAATTTACACAGAGCTGCAGTTCTCCTGGTTTTTCTCAAGTGTCACTCATCTAATTTAGCATGACAACTGAGAAACGATGTCAGATGTGTTACAGTTCAGTTTAAAAAACATCCTCTACCTGGTATCTCTGCAGTGATTGTCTTGCTGCTCCTTGAAACTTCTTCATCATCATCTGATGAACCCGTGCTCGAGTCACACGTCAGGTCACTATCACTGGTACTGCTGTCCTGCAGCAGGTTGTACTTCTTGCGAGCAGCTGCCTCCCGTTTCTGTCTCAAGAGCCGAATTCTTTCTTTGTGCTTTTGGCTTCGATGACCCTTTGCTTTGGTAACTCGACCATTCTGCTTATCACTAGACTGTCTGTTTTTCTTGGCAACCATTGTTGAAGTTTCACTTTCAGACCTGGATCTCCTGGATTTCCTCCCAACTGCAGCACCAGACACTGCAGAAAGGTCTCCCCCTACAGCAGCTTGAGCTTGACAAGGCTCATTCTCTTCTGTGGAAGACAATGTATCAGAGTCAGCCAAATGCCCACTGGAAGAAGGGGAAAGCATGCCATGATTAGAAGAGTCACTCTCATAAACTCGACCACCCATTGGTTTATCACTCTCTGTAGATGCCAGTTGAGACTGTGAAGAGTCTCGCCTCAGTTCCATCAGTAAGCAAGGCATTGAAGAGAGCACCACAGAGTCTGCTGCAGTGTGCATGTTGTCTTTCTGAGTTTGTGTCTCAAGTTCTATAGATCCACATTTATCAGGAGCAGTCTCTTGCTTTTCAGAAGTCTTTGGTGGAAGTTCTGAATCAACAAGTTCTGCTTTTCCCACTGCCTCCATCTTCATTTCAAAACACCAAGGTCCTCCTGGTCTCAAAGCATGGAGCACATGATCTGGAAGACTGGGTGAACTAGATATGGTCTTCAGCAATACAGCAGCCTGCACAAGAACAGAAGAGTAAGAATAATTTACCCAAATTACTCAGTCCTGCTCTCCACAGTATTGTTGCAAAATAACTACAGTTTAGCAATTGGTAGTAGAATGGCTAAGGCTTAGTAGGAGAGTAGGCCTAGTTAGCAACCTTGTTTGTGAGCATGGAGTGTTGTGCTGAAGAAGTGGAAACAATAATCAAAGGATTTAGTCAAGCATGTATATAATGATTTGTTACCTAGGATGTAGTAATGTTACCTAGGATGTGGTAAGGGTCTGTTAAACAGTTTCTAGGGGTAAGACAGCTTAAGCAGATTTATGATTAGAGTAGATGATTATTAATTGTTATCAGAATGAAGTATGAGCTTGTTTGTAACTGTACCTGGTTTGCTGTGTGTAACTAAGAGTAACTGTTTTCATGGAGAAATTGCATGTAAACATGTTTGTGTGAGAGTATAAAAGCTGTATGAAAAACGAGGGTCTTCGGAACCTGACTTGGGACGCTAGTCCACAGGTTCCTGGGCCCAGAATAAAGCACCGCATAAACCGGCACTCTGTTGGTTTGTGTTTTTGTTACGGGCAACAGTTTTCTGGCGACCCAGAGGTGGGACTCCGGGGGTAGCTGGGGCGGCTCATGAGCTGATCCACTCCATGCCGGCAACCAGGTGATTCCTGGGGAGACATCGACCCGTGCCCGACCCCGCGCCCGACGGACAACCATCCAGGTAAGCCCGGAGGTGCTTTATTCTTTTAGGTTTGTTGGTTGGGAGCCTGCCTGTAAGACGGGACCGGGAGTTACCCGCTGGGTTGGGCAAAAGTAACTGGGGAAACCTAGGCGCTGGTCGTAAGACGTAGCGAAAGCCGCGCTGTACCAGCACTCGCCACTCAGAGGGAGAATTGGCGAGTTGGTTTTGGTTTTGGTTTTGGAATAAGTAATTGGTTTATATCGTTGTGTTATTGTGAATTTAATTTTGAATTTAGACTGTGGTGTGTGTGTGTGTGTGTGTGAGTCAGTATGATGCCGTTTAAAACCTTTAGGGCACTATCTTGTGCAGAAAATGATATTCCTAGCGATTCTCCGCTTGGTTGTCTGTTAAAGCATTGGAAGGAAGGAAATTTCGGACAAGAGTTAAGCAAGAAACA